TAAAAAAAAAAAAAAAAAAAAAGAACTTGCAGTCATCCTGCCTCAGATTCCTAGGGTACCAGGATACCAACATCTTAAATGTAATTGATTTTAATCTTATTGGCCATACTTCCAAGGCCATTTTCTCTCAGCTTTTCAAAAGCAAGCATGAAAATAGTATAAAAAGAACTAGTACCATACTGCTAGGGATATAGGTCTGTGTAGAGTGGTTCTATCTCCAGTACCACACACATACAAAATGTGGGAAGGGATTACAAAAGTCACTACCAACTAAGACAGACTAAGATGTTCTGTGGTAGTGTGTTGGCACATACCAAGAGGTGGCACAATGAACAATGACTTTGAATATTGGAAGATACACTGGCACAGTCCCTTCTCCTTGAATCCAGGCTGATCCTTCAATTTGCTTTAACCCACAGAACGTGATGAAACTGCCAGTCCTGAACTGAAGCTTTAAGGCTAGCAGTTTCCATTTCCACCTTTTTGGAAAGTTTGAATCAATGTGTAAGTCTGGCTATTCTGCTAGAGAGATTATGAAAAGAACTCATATGGTGAGGGAGAAAAGCTGAGACTACAGAAGAGAGCAAGCTCCTTCAGCTGAGCAAGCTGATGTTAGGCCCACTGGCAAGGACAGCAGAATGGCTGGTTTAATCACAGCCTGGATTGCAAAACTGTGAGTAGATAAAATGGTTGTTGTTTTGACTCACACATTTTAGGATGGTTTGTACAGATAATGAAAACACCTCCTTAGCCTTTCACTGGTGACTTCTGCATAAAGCTCAAGTCTCCATTCCTTATTCCCTCTTTTACACTTTTATGGCAATAATTTTTCAGATTTTATATTATTAAGACCTGAGCAAGACCCCCTCTTTTTTTTTTTCCAAGACAGGATCCCCCTATATAGCTCAGGCTGGCACTGAACTGCGTAGCCTAGGCTAGTCTTGAACTCTCAGTGATCCTCCTACCTCAGCCTTCCAAGTGCTGGGATTACAAATGTGCACCACCAGGCCTGGCTGACATTTTTGTTCTATTTTGTTTTTGTGGTACAGGGGATGGAACCCCTCAAGGACTGGTGCATGCTAATACACATACTCTACCACTGAATTATACCCCAACCTCCCAACCCACTTTTAAAAAAGCATTAGGGGATCCTAGGTTCTGACTTTAGCTCTAGCTTTGTTACTAGCTGTATGCCTTCTGAAAGTCATTAACCTTTCTATCTCAGTTGTAAAGTAGGGAGACTAAAGCTCGCTCTACCCACCCGACGGTAAAAATGAGTATAATCTAGTTGAAACAAAATGAAATGCATTAAGAGGTTCTAGCTCTTAGAGGCAATTGAGGAGGGCCAGGGATTTAGCTCAGTGGCGGTGAGCCTGCCTCGCAAGCGCAAGGTCCTGAGTTTGATCACCCGCACCAAAGGTGGTGGTGATGGGGAGAGGCAAGTGAGAAAAACCAAAGAACAAGGACTTTATGCCATTTGAATGTAAGATCTTTACCCCTGAGCCACATCTTCAGCCCTGAATGTAAAATCTTTAACAAACAACTTAACATCTGATTCTCAGTTCTGTAAATGAGTATACTTTTTCCCACCTCACAGATCAATTTGTGATGATTAAATATGGCACCCCATAACGATAGACCTGTTGCACAATAAGCAACAATTGCCCGGCATCAAGCACAAGTTTCCTTCTCTCCTCTTCTCCGCCTATCTCCAAGTAGTATGACTTCGTAAGTCTAGAGCGGGGCCCAGGAAGTTATTTAAACTAAAACCAAGTTTCTCAGCATATTGGTGGGCAGCTCCTTCTTCCACCGGATTGCAAAGGACTCTCTCAATAGATACCACGCCCCCGCCTTTGGTCAAAAGGAGCCGCAAATTCCAGGTATCGCGACACATGCTCCTTTCTCCAGGGTAGGTGAAAATCTCGCGAGAGCTATTTGTCCAATCATGAGGCCGGTGGCTTCACAAGATGGCGGCGCGCGGGGGGTCGTAGCATCTGCGTTTCTAGGAACCTCGCGCTGCAGGTGGCGTAAAATTTGGCGACTTTACAATACCACGCCAGACAAGTCGTTGGGCAGAAGCATCCGTCTCAGAGGTGGGTCATTTAACATCTTTTTATGCAGATTGAGATCATGGGTCAGTTAACCCATCGTTCACCCGGCTTCTTTCTCGGTTCAGAGGTTCAGGATGTGCTGACTTCGGGGTCGAGAAAGGGGGACCTGCTGGCTTTGTGCACGCGGGCTGTGATGTTAAGGGTGGGTAGGAGTTGTCAAACAGAATGGAGACTAGGATGGAAGTATGAGCCCCTCCCCCCGCCCCGAGTATGGGATGATGTTTAGAGAGATAGGAAGCAAAAGTGGCAGACAGACTGAGTGGGTAAGATGAGGGCAAGGAGTAAAAAAGTTGGTCAAGTGGCAGTAGCCAGGTAGACGAAGAAAGTCAGATTTGTGAGGGAAAGTGAAGACAGAAAGCCGAGGTTGGGATTGAAGTAGGAATTATCTCTTGAGAAGCAATTTGACATTTTGTTCATCTTCATCATTATCATCAATTGTTACTATTTTGGAGACGGTCTTGCAGTGTCCTTCAAGCTGGCCTTTAACTCTATGTAGGCCCGGTCGGCCTCATACTCAGTGATCCTCCTGCCTCAGCCTCCTGAGTGCTGGAATTACAGGTGTGTGCCACGAGGCCTGGCCAGGAATTTATATTTCTAAAAGCAGAATTGAGATTTTTGTTTTACAGGTTTACATGTTAAAAGAAGTGGTACTTGAGGGTTTAGGGTCAGGAAGAACCAAAGACAAAGAAGTATGGAAGTAGGATCAACAAATGGAAGTTTCAGCCGCAACAGTACTATTTTAGCTTTTTGGGCTGATTTAGGTAACCCTAAAGAAAAATTTCAGCCGGGCATGGTGGTGCACGCCTGTAATCCCAGCACTCAGGAGGCTGAGGCAGGAGGACCGCTGTGAGTTCGAGACCAGCCTGGGCTACATAGTGAGTTCCAGGTCAGTCTCAACTGCATAGTAAGACCCTGTCTCAAACTCCCCCCAAAAAGAAAAATTTCAGTTCTTAAGATGAGGTTTTTTTTGTTTTTGTTTTTGGTATTGAGGATTGTACTCTGGACCTTGCGTTTGCAAAGCAGGTGGCGGCACTACTCAACTAAATTCCCAGCCCTAAGATGTGTTTTTTATGAGAGGACTCAGGATGAAGGTGGTGTGTTTCAGGAGGCTGGACAATGAAATGCGTTCTGTTGTGCTTTCAGTCAACAAATATGTGGGTGGCTCTTCCACTAGACCCTGCATTAAGCTTTGGGATTTCTCAAGGAGCAAAACATGAAACATTTTTCCTCTTGAAACTTAAAGCAGGGAAAAATTTTAAAAATAAAGTAAATGGAATGCTAATGGGTAAATTCAATGTAGAATACTGCAGCTTGGAAAGGAAACAAGAAATGTCTTCACTCACTATGTATTTAAATCAGGCACTCAAAAAACAAAGACCTGCTCAAGGTGAAGTTACATTTAACATGTATATTTCTATGGGAAGAGCAAATCATACAAGTGCAAAATCCCTAAGACATGAGTGTGCCATACTTGACAGAGAATTAACAAGAAGGCCAATGTGGTTACTGCAGAATGAAGCAAGAAAAGTTGATCAGGTTAGGGAAAAGTGGGAAGTGACAATGCTGATGTCAGTGAAGTCGATACCCAAGCTGGGTGAGGTGAAACATGCCTGTAATTCCATCACTGGGGAGGCTAAGGCGGGAATAGGCAGGAGGTTTGAGTTTGAAGCCAGACTGGCTGGGCTACATAGCAAGACCTTGTCTCAAAAGAAAAAAGCTGACATCCAGCTAAACTTTGAGGAATAGAATATGTTCAGCTAATCATCCAGTGCCTGTATTAGGAGGTTGGTTAGCAAAAAACAAACAAAAAAGGACTTCATTTATCTGGGCACAGTGGCACATGCCTGCAGTCCCAGCACTTTGGGAGCCTGAAGCAGGAGGATCACAAGTTTAAGTCATGTTTGGTCAACTTAGATCCTGTTTTAAAGTAAAAAAAAAAAAGAAAAGTAGCCAGGTATGGTGGTGCATGCTTTCAGGAGGCTGAGGCCAAAGGATTCCCCTAGGCCAGTCTGGTTGTGTTTGTCCGAGCAGCATCAACACGGCAGAAAATGAACTGAAATTAGTCTCAGTTAGTTCAGGATGTCATGTGGCCTGTGCACAGATGTGAACTGTGAAGTCCTTGGTATCGTCCTTAGACTTTGTCCGAGCAGCATCAACACGGCAGAAAATGAACTGAAATTAGTCTCAGTTCAGGATGTCATGTGGCCTGTGCACAGATGTGAACTGTGAAGTCCTTGGTATCGTCCTTAGTTTGTTGGAGAGCACTGTGTTAGAGTACCTTTCGTTTCTGTTGCTGGCCAGAATTAGAATAAAGGAAAGCATTTTCCTTTTCCATGTTTATTTGTTGGCCAGGATCTGTCCTGGTTTCACACTCCCCTCATTCCTGATGGTCTGTAAAAGGACTATTAATGCTAGGAAATTAAAACTAGTGTAAAATGAATCTCAGTGGTAGTGTAAAGAGCCAAAAGGTGTTAACTTAGTGTGCTGGAAAACATCCAGATGGCTTCTCATGTTCACTCAACAAATGTTAGAAGATGTTTAAGGTATGATTTTGAAGGATTAATGGGCCTTCAGAAGTGAGAGGAGGTGAAGGCAGGGTGGGAGAATCTTGTAGCCAGTAAGAACAGCACATGGTGTAAGAGTCCATCGTGCAGCAGAGAGATTGAAAGCAGACCAGGATATCTGGAGCATAGTGCAAGGAAAGGAAGGAGGCACCTAGGAAGCTGGAGGGATACGGCAGACCGAGATTATGTGTGCCTTTACTATTTCAGACTTTCTTAATAGCTTTAGTAAGTTGCTCAAGGAGTTTAGCAAAGGGGTGTTAAGGTTGGGTTTGAGAGTGGGATAGGGGCTTACCTACTGGTTAAGAGTAGTTATGCAGTGATCAGTTAGTTTCACACTAGTTAATAAAAGAACTGATGGTGGTCTGGGCCAGAGAGGTGGAGTTATGGAGGATAAAAAGTTGGAATTAGGATTAAAGAGAACGTTCAGCACATGGCCTGTGTTTGCAATAGTGGAATAGGGCAGGAAAAATGCTGAAGACTTGTTCACCAGGAGAAAGACAGTGACACTATTCAGTGCAATAGGGAAAATTATGAGAGGACCAATATGGATTTAATTTTGGACATGCACATGAAATACTTCTGAACCATTTATGTGAGAAGTATGGTAGCCAGTTGGGGATATGATTTTGAAAGATCTAGAGCAGTGAACCTATGGCATGCATGCCACAGTGGGCTGTTTGTATCATTGAAAGCTCTAAAAGCTTTGCCATCCCTGGTCTAGAGTGAAGGAAATAATTCATTCTTGAAATTTTTGAGTGTGCACAACTGTCAAAAAAGCTTCTGTAATTGAATGTTAGTAGATTTATTACTATATAAAATTACATTTCTTAGTCACCTTCTCATCAGTGAGACACAATACTGGACACCCACAGCTTAAAGGATGAGAGGTTTACTCCATAGATAGCTGCCTTCAAGGCAGGAAGGCATGGTGGAAAAGCGTGGCCAGAAGGAGAGCTGCTTACCTCATGGCATCCACGAAGAGAGGAAAGGAGGTCCACGTTCCAAGTCATGCCCCAGTGACCCACCTCTTCCAACCAGGTCCCACCTCCCAACACTAAGGCAGCTATAATGCCCGTGTAATCCAGCCACCTTCCAAACACATGAGGCTTTGGGGAACATTTTAGATGTAAATCATAACAGGACTTGCATTAGCTGGGGAGATTAGGAAAGACCTACTGAAGAAGAAATCCTTTTAGTAAGATCCTAAGGATGAGTAGGAATTTACCAGCTGAAGATGGGGAGTAAAGAAGAAAATAGTCAAAAGAAATAGTCTATTTAATGGTTCTATGGCCTGCTTGGAGGGACAGAAAGAAGAGCTAAGGGGGTGTATGATCTAAGCTGATGGTGAAAAGATAGGTAAAGCCATACCATATAGGATCTAATATGTATGCTGAAGTGATGACACCTATTTTTTCTTTTTTTGTTTTTGACATCTACTTTTATCTTAAAAGTACGGTAGGGTTTTTGTTGTTGTTTTGTTTTGTTTTGTTTTTTGAGACAGGGTCTCACTGTGTAGTTCATGCCAGCTTTGAACTCTCTATGTAGCCCAGGCTGGCTGGCAATCCTCCTGCCTCAGCCTCCTCAGTGCTAGGATTACAGGCATGCACTACCACACCTGGCAGAGTAAGGTTTTAAGCAAGTAGACGTAGGTAGATCTACTGAGATTTATAGCAAGAATAGGTAGGACCAAGGGTGAATGAAGGCAAAGCAGTTAAGAGGCTGGTCTAGCAATCTAGGTAACTTAGCCTATATTGATACTGGTAGGGACAAGATAAAAGAGATGGATTTGAAATGTAAAACAGGTAAAACCCACAAACTGATTTCTTGGATGTGAGGGAGAACTGTCAGGTGACTCCTAGATTTCTGGCTTGCATAATACTGTTTAAAATGTTTATTGTTAAGGCAAGTGTGTTAGCATACACCTGTAATTCCAGCAAACTGGTAGGCTAAAGCAGGAGGATGGCAAGTTTGAGCCCAGCCTAGGAAATTTAGGGATTTACCAAGACTTTGCCTCAAAATTAAAAAAAAAAAACAACAACAAAAAACAACAAATTAAAGGGCTTGGGATGTAGCATGTGAAGGCCCTGGGTTCAATCCATAGTAGCACCATTAAAAAGAAAATATAATGAACAGTATAGCAAAAAACAATTGCCTGCTGCTCAGATACACTAAAATATTTTTCAAATTACCAACTAGGGGCTAGGGCTATAGCTTAGTGGTAGAGTGTATGATTTAGTATGCCTGAGGCCCAGGGTTCAATCTGTAGCACAAACCAAAAAATAAATTTGTTAATAAAAGTACAAACTATATTAGTTTTTTTTTCAGTTTTTACTTTTTTTTAAAAATCAGTACCAGGGATTGAACTCAGGACCCTGTTCTTGGGAGGTCAGTGCAGTGCCACTGAGCTAAGTCCCGGGCCCTAGTTTTTACTTCTTGATATAAACATATTAGCTTTTTTCCCTTTACATAAACTGAATGAAGGCAAAGTGTTTTCATTTGTTTTTAGCCATCTAAGAATGACACAAATTTATGAAAGAAACAGAAATAGAACATATTTTTTTTTAAGCTTGAGTGACTTTGTGTTGTGCTGCCAAATACATAATCCTTGCAAGGCCACTGTAAAAACTGTCAATTATAGAAATATTTCCTTCTGTCACTTTGATGCTCTTACCCTTTTTTTTGTTTTGTTTTTTGGAGGAGGGTGCTGGGGATTGAGCCCAGGACATGTACATGGCTGGCAAGTACTCTTCTGCTGCCTAGTGCTGAGCGATATTGCCTGCCCACTCTAATGCTCTCAAAGGAAAACGTTTCAAATTTTTTCCCCTTGGAAAAAAAAAAAAGACATCCTATCTTGTGTACATTTTTATTGTGGTAAAATATGCATGACATAAAATATACTATGTCGTGACTTTTAACTGTACCACTTAGTGACTTTAAGTACATTCACACTGTTGTGCAGCCCTTGCCATTAATCCTCTCCAGAACTTTTTCATTGTTCATTTTCCATCCAGCCCCTGACCCCTCTGTTCTACTCTCTGCATGAGTTGTCTTTATCTTGTATGAGCTGTCTTTATCTTGGAGGAAGCATACAATATTTGTCCTTTCATTTCTCTTAGCATAGTGTTTTCAAGACTCATTTGTGTTATAAGCATGTATCAGAATTCCTTTTTATGGTTGGCTAATATTTATTGTATATGTATATAACAGTCTGCCAAATATATGTATACACACTTCAGCAGTTCGCTGTACTAACAAAAGGCTGCAAGCTAATGGCCATCTCTTTGAGCACCTCTTGTAAATATAGATGTCTCAATAGGATTAAAATACTTAATAGGTTTTTTCCCCCCCCGATGTATACATTTTTGGGGGTGGATGCCATATATGCCATATTATGTATAGTTATTTATCTGTCAATGAACACTTGAATTGTTATTTTCTGTTTTGTAATTTCTGCTACTTGTTAGTAGTAGTTATCCTAATGAGGGTGAAGTGGTATCATTATGGTTTTGATTTGTATTTCCTTTCTAATGAACAATAGAGAACATCTTTTCATGTGCTTATTGTATACTTTTAAAAATTCTCCATTTTCTCACTTGCTTGGAAAAGACGTTGGCTTTAATTGTTGACCTGGCATTCAAAGTTTTTCCCCCATCATTTAAAAAAACTAAATATACTGACTGTTTTCCTCTGTCTTTTTTGTCTTTTTAAAGATGGCTCTGAGTAAATCAATGCATGCAAGAAATAGATACAAAGACAAACCACCTGACTTTGCATATCTGGCATCCAAATATCCAGATTTTAAGCAGCATGTTCAGATAAATCTGAATGGAAGAGTAAGGTAGGTAACAGGTGAAAAATTATTAATATACTGTCATCCTAGTGTGATCTGAATGGACACAGTGAAATGGAAAGCAGGTTGGGCTTTTAGAAGACCTGAGTAGTAATTATAGTATTTTATTAACATCTTATGAGATCTTGGACAAATCATTTAGCCTCCTTCAGCCTCAGTTATTTTAATCTTAAGGAGGTTGCAGGGTATGGTGGCTCATGTTCTTAGGAGGCTGAGGCAGGAGGATTGTGAGTGGGTCCAGTCTAGGCTGCAGAGTGACTTTGAAGTCAGCCTAGGCTACACTGCATGCTTGAGGCCACTCATGGACTACTTGAGATCTTGCCTCAAAAAATATAAATAAATAAGAATGAAACAAATAGATGAGGGCTGAAAATGTAGCTTGGCAGTACAGCACTTGGTGATGAGAGGATTGGCTTTTAAGCCTCCTCCAGCCTTAAAAAGAAATTCTAATATCCAAATTATTTCTTACCCTACATTTTTTTCTAGAATACTGCAGGGACTACGGATGTCTTCTGTGTGATTTTAAATTTGTTGACTGGTGAGGGTCTGAAGATTTTTTTTGTTTGTTTTATTTGTTTATTTTTTTGGTATGGTGATCGAACTCAGGACCTTGTGCTTGCCAGACAGGTGCTGTGCCACTGAGCTACACCCCCCAGCTAAAGATACTGTCTTCATCCATTCATCTTTTTTTTGGTACTGGGGATCGAACTCAGGACTTTGTGCTTGTGAGGCAGACGGCAGCACCACTGAGCGAAAATCTTTTGCCAGGGATTTAGCTCAGTGGTGCCACTGCCTGCTTTGCAAGTGCAAGGACTGGAGTTTGATCCCCAGTACCAAAAAACAAGATTTTATCTTTAAAAAGTATGTGTTTGGGGCCAGGGATTTAGCTCAGTGGGTCTGCCACCTGCCTCACAAGCACTAAGGACCCGAGTTCAATCCCTGGTACCAAAAAACAAACAAAACAAAAAGTATGTGTTTGGGCTGGGGATTTAGCTCAGTAGCAATATACCTGCCTTGTAAGCACAAGGTCCTGAGTTCAGTCCCTGGTACCAAAAAAAAAAGGGTTTATTTTGCTGTGAGGTAGGAAAACAATAGAACACCAAAGCTGGTTTCACAGATACTATTACCTAAATATTGCTAAATTTAAGTTGATTTTTGAAAATTAAGAAAAATATGGCTGGGGGATGTGGCTTAGGTGTACCATGTATGCTTCCTATTCATTACACATACACACAAATCCAGAACAACCCACCAAAAAAAAAACCCTCCCTGAAAAACAATGACTAATGCCTTGTTTTACTTTATGCCCAAACTCAGGGAATTACAAAAGGAATTAAAAATTCTAAGCCTCTGGGGAGAGGTGGTGATTCACCTTTTGTTAAGGGGAGCAGGGTGTGAGGAAAGAGGGAACTTAAAGAATAGCAAGGTCCCTGGGCTTGAAACTTTTGCCCATCTCCTAGCATTATCCTTATGGCTTTGGGAATGGAGGCCTTAGGGTGGATTAACCATGGGGCCAAGACACCTTAACATTAAGTAAAAGTTCTTTTTCTTTTTTTTTTTTTTTTTTTTTGGTAGCAGGGATAGAACTTGAGACCTTGTGCTGGTGAGGCAGGCAGTGGCACCAATGAGCTAAATCCCCAGCCCAAAAGTTCTTTAAAATTAAGTTATGTTCATTTTTCTGGGAGATAGTCCTTGGCTTTACTTTTTTTTTTGAGAGAGAGAGAGAGAGCGAGTCTCACTATGTAGTTCAGGCTGGCATTGAACTCATTGTATAGCCCAGGCTGGCCTCAAATTCAAGGTGGTCCTCTTGCCTCAACCTCCCGAGTCCTGGGATTATAGGGATCTACCTTGGTCAGTCCTTGTCTTTCATAAAATTCTTAAAGGGATTTGTGGTATTCCTCTTTGAGTATACAAACATTAAGCTCAAATGCTCTAGAACCATGGCTTCCAAGCTTTCATGATACTCTGTTACCAGAGTTTTAGGGCAAAGGCCCAGCTCTGAGTGTTCCAACAGTGAAGGCTTGGCCTCCTGTCCCAAAATATCAGTCAAGGAGATGAGCAGCGATAAAGGGAAATTGAGGAGCTTTAATCAGTGAGGGATAGATACAGAGGTTCAAGCTTTGTCTAAAAGGAAACTCTGAAGCTTTATAGAAAAGGTGACTAAAGTCAAGGGTGGCAGGGAAATTTGCACACCTGGCAGGATAGGTAATCCTGGTCTGGTTGATCATTACATCAGGGCTGGTTCTGGGAGGTGGCACCGGAGATGTTCTTACACATTGAGGGGCAGTCTGGTTCCTATGAAGTGATTGCCTCTGCTTAGGGAGGGGGTGATGTGATCATGGGATGATGTGTCTGTGAGGCTCCGCTTTTCCTCAAATCCAGGGTGGCTACTGGTTTAGGATAACGACTAGAGGCTTCTGTGTCCCACTCCAGGGAGTCTGGAATAGGACATTGTAAAAATTGGCAGTGGGGAAATGAGATAGGGCTGATGAATCTTGTGTTAGCAGTTTTTAGACAGAGATTCTTTTTTTTTTGAGACAGGGTCTCCACTATGTAGTTGAGACTGATCTGGAACTCACTATGTAGCCCAGGCTGGTCTTGAACTCAGGGATCCTCCTGCCTCAGCCTCCCGAGTGCTGGGATTATAGGTATGAGCCAACATGCCCAGCTAGACAGAGATTACATAGTGAGTTCCACATCAGTCTCAACTACATAGTGAGACCCTGTCTCAAAACAAAGCAAAACAAATGATTAACCTGCCCAAGTGCGGAGTTGAGCAGGGATCAGACTCAAATTTTTAGATTAATAAATGAAGTAGATATAAAATGAAGACAGATGCGAAGTTTTTTTCTGCTTTTGGTTACTCATTAGGTATCTGCAGCCCTTGCCTCTAAGTCCTTCATATACAGTAGTACCTCCACTCACTAAAAAAATTGAGTACAGTGTGTGTATGCTTCTCCTACTTACTTTGTCCTCCTTTGATGGTATGTTAAGTACATTTAAAAACATACTTGAAAATAGAAATTAAAATTATATTTAAGTGGGAAGTCTAATATTTTCTGTGCATTTTCAAAAGAATCACTTTGACACTTTACTTTGGACAGTACCCTAAAGAGACAATATTGCCATTTTTCTTTTTTTTTTTTAACCATTATTTATTTATTTATTTTCCATTAAGTTTATTGGTACATTGAAAGCAAACAATACAGTTACATTTATCATTGGGATCTTGTACCTTTACATGATATATCTTGGTTCTTATTTTTTCATTTTTCTTTGTTTATAACATTGCTACCATTCTTAAATCTTTTATATAGTTAGGTGTATTAGTCAGTGTTTCCCTACTGTAACAAATACATGAGATAAATAAACTTATAAAGAGGAAAGGTTTATTTTGACCCATGGTTTTGGAGGTTTTGGTTCATGGTGGCTCCGTTAAAATTTTAGGCCTGTGGTGAGGGAGCTCATTGTAGCTGGGAGCACTTGATAGACAAAGCTGCTTACCTCATGGCTGCTGGAGGCAAGAGAAGAAGGGGTTGAGGGACTGTCCTTTAATCACCATCAAGCCCCCCCAATCTTTCCACTAGTCTCCCCCTCCCAATAGCATAAATCTAGGGGCCCAGCCTTTAGTGTGGGCCTTTGGGGTACAATAGTATGGAACTTAATTATTTAATCAAACTATCAAGTAGCACGGTTTGCTTCATTCTAGGAAAGACATAATAACTAGAAAGACGTAGTGACTGCCACATTTGAGTTTATACATCAGAGGGAAAATCAGACAAATACATAAGCAGTTAACTTTCAGTGTGGCAGAACTTGTGGTCTGTGCAGTGGGATCATGTAGGAGGGAGATCAGATCTCAATTTTGGGATTTATGTTTTTGTTTTTTGTTTTTTTGTACCAGGGATTGAAGTTGTGCCCTTGTGCTTTTGAGGCAACTTACAGAACCACTAAGCCAAATCCCTGGCTTTCAATTTTGGGATTTAGAGAATGATTTGATACAGAAATGGTGTCTTAGTGGTATTCTGAACAAAAATAAGAGTTGGCTAAGTTAGAGGGATGAGAGTTCCAGGTAGAGGGAGCAGCATGTGCACATGACACTGAGCATCAGGGGAACTGAAAAAGTTGATCATGCTTAGGGTATAGTGGATAAAAGACAAGATAAGGCTGAGGAGGATCGAAATTGCCGTACTTTTTAAGATTCACTAAGAAGTTTGGAATTTATCTTAAGAACAGAGTATTGGTCGGGGGGTTGTGTCCTTACAATTACATATCCCCATCCTTATCCACTAAAAGTTTTTTCCTGTTTTGTCTTGTGGCAATGGGGTTTGATCCCAGCCCTTCGATCCCCAGCCCTTTTTGTATTTTGCAACTGAGTCTCCCTAACTTACTAAGTTGCCCAGCCTGGGCTTGAACTGGGATCCTCCTGCCTCAGTCTCCCAAAGTACTAGATATGTGTCACCATGCCCAGCTTTCCACTGAAGTTTTAAAGCAGGGATAACACTTCAAAATTGTGTTAAAGTAGATATATTCTAGGACCATTGTGAGAGATGGATTGCAGGAAGACTAAAACTGGAGGTAGCTGGGTGTGATGGTGCATGCCTATAATCAGCACCTTGGGAGGCAGAGGTGAGAGGATCCCAAGTTTGAACCCAGCCTGGGAAATTTAGTGACTTAGCAAGACCCTGTTTCAAAATAAAAAGTAAAAAAGAAGGGTAGGTGATGCAGTTCAGTGTGAAGACCCTAGGTTCAGTTGCCCATAAACCCCACTCCCCTGCCCCAACATGCACACACACATACATACACACACACATACATACACACCACACACACTGGAGGTAGAGGGAGGGAGGTAGGAAATGGTTTTAGTAATCCAGATTAGAAGCGGGGATTTAGCTGAGAGTGCTGCTGCCTGCCTGGCAAGCGCAAGGTCCTGAGTTCGATCCCTGGTACTAAAAAAAAAAAAAAAAAAAAAAAAAAAGAGAATC